CAAGTTTCAGCTTTGAGGTTTTCTTTTTTCTAAGACAATTGAAATGATTTTTTCTTCTAAAATCCTCACATTTTTAAGAATGGTTTCAAGTGTATATAATCTTTTATTTTTTCCATTGCTCTTGATCAAAATTATAAAAACCACCGAAATAAGACATTCTTTCTAAGAACAACTACCAAATAGTCCTTAAATATATTACAACTATACATTTGGGACATACCCTGTTCTAAGAATCTGTTATTTGCCTGGTCTGGTCTTGAAAATAGAAACATTTATTCTTTCCACCCTTTGTTTTGGGATTAAACCAGTAATCTTCTGGAATAGGTACTGCATATGGATAGAAATGACTATTATGGAGGAGCATCAACCTCTCTTAATCTCATACAGGTTTCTTAAATCAAATTCATTATTTAAGTTTTCACTTAATTAAATTTCCTGTTCCCTTTGCCAAATTTTCTGTTCTAATATCAAATATCTCTTCCCCCTACAGCTTTGGAAGCGTTTTAGGGGGGATGATAAGCCTAATGAAAAGTTGGGCTTGAGCAAAGAGTACAATGTTGATATGATACCCAAGGTAAATACTTATTTCTCCATTGTCATACTGTGTTCTTTGAACCTGTTAATAAAGGTTATAAGTTGTTTCTAAAATTTGGCTTCTATCTTAAATATGTTTACAGAAAGTACATTGCGAATGAAAATAAATTCTTCATAGACGAACTTAATTTCTAAAAACAGAACGCTAGTAACAAATTATAAGTGTTAGGGTCGATCTGAAAGTTTCTGTCCACTTTTTTCCTCCGTAGTTCATGATGGCCAATGGTGGTTTGGTACGAGTGCTCATCCACACAAATGTTACCAAATACTTGCACTTCAAGGCTGTCGATGGTAGTTTTGTGTACAACAAGGGAAAGGTACACTGAATGCTTGTAGAAAGTTCCCCTCATCTTTGTTTTTTCTCAATAATAACAATGAAGAAAGGCTGTTAGGATCAACTAACTTGTAAGCATATTGCTGTGGGTTTTTTAAGATTTACAAAGTTCCAGCTACTGATGTTGAAGCTCTGAAATCTCCACTGATGGGACTTTTTGAGAAACGTCGAGCTCGAAAGTTTTTTATTTATGTCCAAGATTATGACGAAAGTGATCCAAAATCTCATGAAGGTTTGGATTTAAGCAAAGTTACAGCTAAACAACTCATCACGTGAGCGTCACTTGTCCCCTTTTCCATCTTTTGTTATACTAGTTTACGCCAGTTTTATTTCGATTCGAAGAAAGTCTTCCTTTTCATTCTCCTCATTTGGTATTTCAGGAAGTACGGACTAGAAGATGATACAATTGACTTCATTGGGCATGCTTTGGCACTACATTTCGACGATAGTTATTTGGATGAGCCAGCCTTGGATTTTGTGAAGAGAATGAAGGTAAAACTGCGTTGTGCTTGTTTTACTTTTTACTCTTCTACTTTCGTCTGTGCATATGTTTCGAAATTAAAAAGGAAAATTGAAAATTTTGCACTGCATCACACTGGTTAGCTGTTTGCTTTCAAAGGTATTGACAGTGGTTGCACATAGCTTTACGCAGAATCTTTGGCACGTTTCCAAGGAGGATCTCCCTACATCTATCCACTCTATGGACTTGGAGAGTTGCCTCAGGTATGCTTAAAACTTTAAATCTTTAATACTTTACAAGAAAAAAATTTCTGTCTTAATTGTTTCTAAATTTTTGGCAGGCATTTGCTCGTTTAAGTGCCGTTTATGGTGGAACTTACATGCTGAACAAGCCAGAATGTAAGGTAAGAGTGTACTTTGCTAACCTGAGGAGCGTGGATACTGAGACATGGATATGATACGACATGGACATAATGGCACATCATTTTAACAAAATCTAGGATGCGTACATCACTAAGTTTATGCATTTTAAAAAATGAGTTTGATGTATTTCACTCTCAAAATTTATTATTTTTATCCTATATTATGTCTATTTGTGTGCATTTAAGTGTTTGATCCGTGACTAACAAATGTTAGAAATTCACTTAGTACAACTAGTATTTAGCACATATTTATTGTACTAGCAAGTTTCAATATGTGTCTAACAAGTTTTTCAGTGTCAAAATGTCCTACACGCTTTGTGCTAATAAAATTTAACAATCGTCTTGTAGCTTAAGCTCTGTAAATATTTTGATCCTCATTATGTTCGTCATCAACCATTGACTACCATGTCGCTTAAAAAGCTAAAACTAACTGCTTTCTGTTAAAAAAAAGGAAAGTAATAGATTAGCAGTAAATGCTTCTCCCTATTCCCATTATTTCTTAGCTATTTTGAAGCAGGCAACAGCGATATTTGACTCTGTTGGAAAATGAATTAGAATATATTGAAGTTTATAATGAACCTAACCGTTCAAGCTTTTGAAGTTTAACACCATAGTGTTAGGTCATCTATTAACTGCAATAGCGTTATTTTCTTTGATGTGACAATTCGCTTTACAAAAATGTTTATCTTCTTTTCTGAAACGTCTATATTACTTTCTTGATCGTACTCTTTTAGTACTTTGATGCTAGTTAATAAATTAGTGCCTTCTGAACATCCACCACTGTTGATATTATTCGGTTTTCTGGATAACAGGTAGAGTTTGATGGCGATGGGAAAGCTTACGGTGTGACTTCCGAGGGAGAAACTGCTCGGTGCAAGAAAGTAGTTTGTGACCCATCGTATCTGCCAAATAAGGTACTCTCAACATCAAAAAAGTATTAACATATGGTTTATTGTGCTGAATCAAGTTCATTGGTTATGAACCATGGACCAGAAGGCCAAAGACTAGCATTTATATATACATATATACATAGCATGCTAGAGAATTGCTAATGTTTTATCTACTGATCCTGCTTGATTGATACATCAGGTTCAAAAGATTGGAAGAGTAGCTCGTGCAGTTTGTATAATGAGTCACCCAATCCCAAACACCAATGATTCTCATTCAGCTCAGGTTATCCTACCACAAAAGCAACTTGGCCGTAAATCAGATATGTAAGTTTAATACCAAAACATTACAAATAAGTTTTTTTTGCTTTATATGACATGAATCAATTCGGTCTCTGTTAAACTCTTCTTGAGTCTCATATAGTAATTAGCTGGTTTCCTTTTCTTTTGTTTGCAGGTACCTCTTCTGTTGCTCATATGCACACAACGTTGCTCCAAAAGGAAAATTCATTGCTTTCGTTTCCACAGAAGCAGAGACCGATAATCCTGAGGTGGAATTGAAGCCTGGAATTGACCTCCTTGGACCTGTTGATGAGATATTCTATGAAACTTATGACAGATTTATTCCCGCAAATACCAATGAAATAGACAATTGCTTCATATCTACGGTAACTTCATACATAAAGTTGCATTCCCATTAAACAAATTGTTGGCATGATGAAAAGCATAGATACCGATCCAAAGCCAATCATATATGATACCAAAACTTTACAAAAACTTCATCATCTCTGTTTAGCAGATCAGGCTTTGAACTTTACTCTTGTTATATTCTCTTCGTGACATGTATTTAGGAGTTTTTATGTGATATCTCGTCGGTTGGGGAGGAGAACGAAACATTCTTTATAAGGGTGTGGAAACCTCTCTCTACCAATGCCTTTTAAAAACTTTAAAGGGAAAATCCTACGAAGATAATATTTGCTTGCGGTGGGCTTAAGCCGTTACATTTTAACGTTGGTTTTAATGCAGAGTTACGATGGAAGCACCCATTTTGAGTCCACAGTAAAAGATGTGATTGCAATGTACAGCAAGATCACTGGAAAGGTAACAAAGATGAGTAATTATCACACAGATCATTTTGAAATAGTACCAAAGTTAATTTTTCTTTTGCAAAATTGTACTAGATTATATTTGATTATAGGACATAAAAATAGACAGTTAAGAGCAAAATAGTTTTAAAAATTGATCTGTTATTTGCTTAGAGATTTGATATCTGAAATCTTCTGGTAACTTTCTCCTAATTTGTGTCATGTATGATTTGTTCTCAGGCTCTTGATCTCTCTGTGGATCTCAGTGCTGCAAGTGCTGCTGCTGAAGAATGAGATAAAAATTATGCCCATTCTTAAGAGAAAAGGCAACATTTTTGTTTGTTTGTTTGATTCTTTTTTGTTTTTTCTTTTCTTTTTTACAAGCACTTCTGCATCCCAGTGTGTTGCTCATTTTAATGGACTTCCAATATGTCCAAATCTCAATTCGAATGCCATTACTTTCTTCCTTAAATTTCAAAGATTGGAAACTTACATATAAAAACTACCTTAGGTTTTTCTCTAAAAATATAATGTTAATCGACTCTCGAAAACTTTAGAGTTAAAGTTATGCTAAACGTACTCTCGTACGATAAACTTTTTGTAGGACTCAACAAGAGAAAATTAATATTAATTACATTACAAGAGTTCAACCTAAGATAAACTTCTAGTTTGCTTAAATAATTAAAGAATGGACAATAGAAGTTAGAGCCAACGAAATTGTTGTTATAAGGCTTAGTCTTCCAAACTAACGATGCGGGTTCAATTCCGCTATCCGCTTATCTTATTCTTATTAATAAATATAATAAATTATTCATTAATTAATTAAAAATTTTAAATTAATCGAAAATTAAAATAGAATTACTCAAATCAAAATTTTAACTTTAACGTTAATTTTGAGTAATGTATTACTTCATGTATGTATACAAGTATCATTCTTTTAAAAAAATTTAACCAAATCCAACCTGTGTTTATGAGTATTGTAGAGATGGGGAATGAACACAAAAACATTTGAATTTCTATCTAAATTCAAAAAAAAAAAAAAAAAATTTTTTGTATAATTTTTAAAAAATTTTGGTTTTTGAAAATATACATAGATAAAATAAATAAATAAATAAATAAATAAAATTAAAAAGAAACTTTTGACCGGATTTTATTATTATTATTATTATTATTATTTATTTATTTATTTATAGGTCTAAATATTAGAACATCTTCTAGAAAAACAATGTGAAAACCCAAGTTTTCAACCGTTGAACGATATCGACCAATCAATCACTCGACAAAGCGTGAATCCAAAGCGTTCCGCATCGTCGGAGTGGAGGAGAAGAGATGGCCGACGAAAACGTCAAGGCGGAGGCTCTGCAGATTATAGGAATGTTTCAAGTTCTCCCAAAGCTGGTCGTCTTCGACCTCGATTACACTCTTTGGCCATTCTATTGGTAATTATTTCTCATTCTCCTAATTCACTTTCCTGTTTGTTGACTCAGAAAAACGCATGTTGATAGATTCTTTCTCAGAACTGTTTTTATCTGTTTCATTTCTGAGCCGTTGCAGTTAGGGGGATTTTGACCAAACAATTCGGCTGCTGTGGTTCATTTTTACCTTTCTTTGATTGCTTTTCATCTTGTTCGTCTTATCGTTTGCTGACTCGAACGAGAAGATTGTTCTAAGAAATGAAATAGAACTAGATCATCTTATATATGAAATTCATTTACTGAGCTTCGTGCCTTCCATTATTTTCTATCGAGATTGTTAGGTTATTTTCATATCTGAACTGATGTTCGTGCAACTTGAGTGGATTAGAACTAAACTGGAGTCGTGTTTGATATTCGATTTTCTAGCATCCAGCAATCAGCTTATAGACAAGTTCATGCTAATAGGAAAGACGGTGTCTATAGTTGTTATGATCGTTTTGTAGTTATATCCTTGGTCAATGTGCGACCTTATGGCGTCTATCGTTTTTTTAATCTTTAATTAGAATGAAGTCGTATATAACAACCCTTGAGATCCTACATCGGTTAGAGAGGGAAACGAAACATTCCTTATAAGGGTGTGAAAACCTCCCCCGAGTGGATACGGTTTTAAAATCTTGAGAGGAAGTTCAGAAGAGAAAGCTCAAAGAGGAAAATATCGGCTAGCAGTGGGCTTGAGCTGTTATGAATGGTATCAGAGCTAGACACCAGGCGGTGTGCCAATGAGGACGTTGGACCTCCAATGGGGGTGGATTGTGAGATCTCATATCAGTTGGAGAGAAGAATGAAGCATTCCTTATAAGGGTGTAAAAGTCTCTCCCTAGTGGACTTGTTTTAAAACCTTGAGAGGAAGCCCAAAGGGGAAAGTCCAAAGAGGATAATATCTGTTAGAGGTGGGCTTGGACTGTTACAAATGATACAAGAGTCAAACACTGGGCAGTGTGCCAGCGAGGACGCTGGACCCTCAAGGGGGTGGATTGTGAGATCCCACATCGGTTGGAGAAGGGATCGAAGCATTCGTTAAGGGGGTGGGTTGTGAGATCCCACATCGGTTGGAGAAGGGGTCGAAGCATTCCTTAATGGGGTGGATTGTGAGATCCCACATCGGTTGGAGAAAGGATCGAAGCATTCTTTAAGGGGGTGGGTTGTGAGATCCCACATCGGTTGGAGAAGGGGTCGAAGCATTCCTTAAGGGGGTGGATTGTGAGATCCCACATCGGTTGGAGAAAGGATCGAAGCATTCTTTAAGGGGGTGGGTTGTGAGATCCCACATCGGTTGGAGAAGGGGTCGAAGCATTCCTTAAGGGGGTGGATTGTGAGATCCCACATCGGTTGGAGAAAGGATCGAAGCATTCTTTAAGGGGGTGGGTTGGGGGTGGATTGTGAGATCCCACATCGGTTGGAGAAAGGATCGAAGCATTCTTTAAGGGGGTGGGTTGTGAGATCCCACATCGGTTGGACATCGGTTGGAGAAAGGATCGAAGCATTCTTTAAGGGGGTGGGTTGTGAGATCCCACATCGGTTGGAGAAGGGGTCGAAGCATTCCTTAAGGGGGTGGATTGTGAGATCCCACATCGGTTGGAGAAGGGAACAAAACATTCCTTATAAGGGTGTGGAAACCTCTCCGTTTTAAAATCTTGAGGGAAAGCTCAGAAGAGAAAGCCCAAAGAAGACAATATCTGCTATTTGTGGGCTTGGGCTATTACATCGTATCGTATCGTATCTTATCCAATTCATGCACAAGTACAGCCCCTAATCCTCAAGGAGGTTTCACCCACCCCAATGGCCCCTTCAAGAGAAGACACTGGCTCGAACCTGGTTAAATTCCGAACTTTAATGTCTCTTAGCATCCAAAGTTCTTGTCATCAAGTTACCTCTTGGGGTTAGTTGAGGATAATTGTTAAGTCATCCCTAATATGGTTGTTCCTGTAATTGTTAAGCCATGTATCCAAGTTGACCATCATCATTTTTTCTTGCTTTCTTTTCTTAACAGTGAATGTCGCTCCAAACGTGAAATGCCATCTCTTTATCCTCATGCCAAAGGCATATTATATGCACTTAAAGACAAGGGAATTGACCTCGCCATTGCTTCTAGATCACCAACATCTGATATTGCCAAGACATTTGTTGACAAATTGGGCATCAATTCTATGTTTGTAGCTCAGGTGATGATGCAAATGAAGACTCATTTTAGTCTATTTCTTCTATTGTCTTGTTGAAAAACGCCGAAGTACGCTTGCTGGGGGGCCCTCTTACCTTCTCCTGGTGTTTTGTGGAATGAGCATTTACAATAGTATTCTGTTCCTGGCACGAACAAACGTCTTCTAACGAAAGGGCCTACGAGCGTTTCTTGCCATTGTTATTTTAAATAATCAGCTTATACCATAAATCCTTTTTTATTAACTTTATCCTGTTTCCAATGCTTTTAATCGTTTGCAGGAGATCTTTTCCAGTTGGACACACAAAACAGATCATTTCCAGAGAATTCATTCAAGAACTGGTGTACCATTCAACTCCATGCTATTCTTTGACGACGAGGACAGGAATATTGAAACTGTAAAACTCATTTTTTATCCTAATTTGCTTTCTATGTTTGTTCCTTGTATTCTAGGAGAGTGCTTCAAGGTTAAGATGAAAACATTTTAAGGATGTCTTATCTCGACATATTGCCATCTTAACGAAGTTTTCATGGTCGTGACAACAGGTTTCGAAAATGGGAGTAACTAGTATTCTGGTTGGCAATGGAGTTAACCTCGGTGCTCTGAGGCAGGGACTCACAAAGTACACCCAGAATGTGAACAAAATTGAGAAGAACAAGCAGAAGTGGACGAAGTACACTAAGAACTCAACTTCATCAGAGAAGACGGAGTAAAGGAATGACAGGGAAGGTGAGTGATTATATAAACTGTGAATCTGTTGTCATTTTACCCTGTATTTGGAGGAATTATATAAACTGCCTTAAGAATGATCTCCTAATATTCATTCTGACTACTGAAAACATAATCCTTGAGTTGGGTGCTTTTAGAAGAACATAGTTAAAGTAGCATTTTCGTTCTTCAGCTCGTTCGTATGGTTTGTAACCTCGTTGGCTTGGACTCGTCTTAGAAAGCTATGATAGGAGAATAGCCAGTAATGGTGTTCGTTGGGTATGTCTAAAAACAAATTGTTGAAGTAGGCCTGCTGTCTGCATTCTTTTAATGCGTATACAAGTTGGGTTGGACTATGGCCGAATGATCCAAATAGGTATTCTCAACCGAACCCTCTATTTTCGGATTTTGTTGGGTTGAGTCATCTGGTTGTTTCATTTTTTTTTAATTATTAAAAAAATTATACTTATTTGGGGCGATAATAACTAAAATCTCAAATTTATCATATCATTAACCTCTAATACAAATGTTAAATATTCTTAATTCTTATAATAGTTTTAAAAATGGATTTTGAGTTGGTTTGTGTTGTAAATCTTATTTGCAGGTGGTTGGGTTGGGTTGACTTGACCAAAAATAATTTAGCTCGTGAACCAAATCGAATTTTTAATTTTTAAAAATTCAATGAAACTCAAATCGAAATAAAATCTAACCCATCTCAATGAACACTCCTACATTTGTATTAGAACTCTTGTTCTTGAAGTTGAGTCTCGATAAAGTTCTTCAAATCATGAACTTGTTCGAAAGCTTTCTTGGTCACTTCCAAGTGTTTATGTTAAATTTTTGAAGGAGGGAATCAAAATCCGGTTTGCACGAGTTATTCAATTTCTATCGACAATTTTTAATGGTCATAGGTAAATTAATATTTTCATAAAGACATTTAAAAAAAAAATACAAAAATTTATTTATTCATTTAAATATATATTTTATTAAGAGTCGGTGAACTCTCAATTAAATATGGGCATGTAATTATGGTGGTCGAGGTTCGATCGAGGCATCCCAATTTAAATATAGAGTGGAACAGGGAGATCGGAAAAAAATTTCATTAGCTAAATAGAACTGGGGGACAAGATTATATTCTTTGTTCCTATTAAATTTCTATCCCGCTCTGTTTACTATATATATATATATATATATAACTTATATATTTATATTCTATAACTATATTTCTTTTCTTTCTTATTAAATAAATAAATATATATGAGTGAGTAATATTATGGTGTAATATTCAAATTTATATTATTGAATTTATTACCGTGTTATTTCTAGAAATTATATTAAAAATATATATAAAAGATAGGAAAAATTCTCGGGCCCATGCCTGCAGCCGAATGTTTCTCATCTCCGAAATGGAAATTGAGAAAGCTTAATGCATGCTAGCCTAGCATCCACAATCACTCCCATGCTTTTATTTAGTTTGATCTTCCGAAAATCGACTAAGTTCTTGAATCAAATCATCACTGAGTTTTATTTAATCACGCTTCTTCTCTATCTCGCAAGAATTCAACAAGAACCAAGAACAGAGAAAAATGGAGAAGATCTCGCAGGCTGGCGCTGCAAACCACGAGCTTAACGATGGAAAAGATGCCATTAACAATGTCTCGGTCTGTGGTTATGACTCGCTCCATCAACTCCTCGCCCAAAATCTCAAACCTCAGATTTTCCAGGTCGTTTTTTCTGTTCTTCTAATCGATTTCTCTGTTTGGCTAGAGTTTGTGGTTGTTATTGTTGTTTTTTCGCTCATTTCTTGGAGTTCTGTTTGATTCCGTACTGTTGAGCGGTGAATTCTGCGTATCGGGAATCTTTTCATCCTATATCTGAGGGAAACATGAAAGTTTTTAGATGTAGCAGGATTAATCGGCTGCTTAAACGTTTTGGTTTCGAAATTGAGTTGTTAACTATTGTTAGTTGTTACTCTGTCGTCGTTCGAAACTTACCATGTCGATTCTGTTCAATTGAGATTTGTATGATTCTTTTTTCGCTGAGGAGTCCTTGTTTTGTGGGAAATAACTGTTTGTAGTCATAAATGACTAGCAGTGTCTGACTGCTTTGATTTTGAATCTACTGAACAAGCTATCTAGAATCTGTAGATGTTTATGCAAGAGCTATTGAATTCTATGTCAAAAGATTCTCTAAACAAACACTTTCTGTATGCTTTTATTTCTAGAAATCATACTTCCGTTCTGTCACTTTTGTATTGATTTTCTACTTCCAAGCTAAATTTTGAAAACTACAAAATGAAAAGATACTTTTTAGAAACATATTTTGTTTCAAGAATTTAACTAAGACCTCAAAAGTTATTTTAGAAATTGAAAAAGAAGAAAAGAAAAGTTGAACATGGGTTGAATAATTTTTATAAGCTTAATATTTTGAAAATAGAAAACCATTAACAAAATCATTGTTAAATAGGGCAATCAAGAATTCTTTTCTCCTCAAACCAATGTATCCCGAGTTATATAGATTTTTGTTCTGTTTTTGGCATGCTTCTACAATTTCTTCGTTTGCTTTGACCTTCTGAAATATTCAATTCAACTAACTTCAACATTGCGTTGCCAATGCCAGGAAGTTAGCCGGTTGCTTCTAGGACTTAACTGTGGGAAGCCGCTTCAAACTATTTCTCTTGCAGAGCCTGTGAAGAGTCTTTCTCTAAAGCATGATTTTGACCTCCAGGTAGTCACTTGTATGCTTGAGTTTCTTTGATAGCATTGATTACATGTTATTTTCAATGCAGAAACCATATTAATATTTGTGCCAGCTTTAGTAAGAATATGATTTGGTTCCTGAGATTTGTTTCTCCTGAAGCATTTAGCAATCTCTATGATTCTATCTTTTGTTTTTATTGTTTAGTTGTGATGCTTTCGTTGGTAATCCATCATTTTCATGTTGAAGTACACGCAAAGCAATGAATTGAAGGTTTGTTTTTAATGGACCACTGAAAGAAGTAATGGAGATCAATAAAGGAACTTCTGTAATCCTATTTCTTATGTTTCCTAGAGAACCTATGTCATCTGTGCAGTCTCTTATATTTGACATCCATCGTTCTCCATCTCTCTCTTTTACAAAAACAAAAAGAGAAAAGATTAAAATAATTCTAATGTATGATAGCAAGTCAGACCTTTTGGTCATTTTAACTCATTAATTATCCAGATAATGCCTGTACTATTAGGATACCATAAGATTTTTGTGGCATTTGAAAGCCTCCATCCGAAATCTTATAAGAAAATGCACTATGCAAAATAATTTTGGGACCTACAGACTTCTATACTGATCTATGTCAATATCATAGCATTTTTTATTAACTTCCCAACATTTATATGATGATAGTGTCACGGTCATGCTTGTCCAAAGCGTGTTACCTATGACCACATATTTTTTATTGTGTTGTGTTAATATGGGGGTGTGTATGACCGGTCACCAAAATCATGTCTACATCTGCCACGGCTAAAATGTCCCAAAATATACGGTAGGGGATGTGACTAGTTGTCAATTCTTCCTACCCAAGTTGTATGCTATCAAAGCCGTAGTTGTTGCCTACTTGCTTTTAGTTTATAACATTGCTTTCTTTAAAGTTGTTTTCAACGTATTTCCTCGCTCACGTTTGCTAAAACATTTCTCTCAAACGTGACTCGACGCTCGAGCATACGCCAATATTGTCCGCATAGTGCGAATTTCACACCGCTGACTTGTTCGCTGGATTAGAACAAGTGCCACAGCAAGAGCAAGAGTGCAATGGTGGCAAATATCACTCACAGTCATAACTTTTTATTTTTTATTTGATTTCTATGACATTTTATTGATGTTTATATCTATTATTCATTTACATCATTTCAGGCTTTCTGCTTTCACGCTGACAAGGAATCAGTGAGAGAACCTCGAATAGTAAGGGTGGGTCTCATTCAAAATTCTATTGCTCTTCCGACAACTGCTCCCTTTTCAAACCAAAAGAAGGCTATTTTTGAGAAAGTAAAGCCAATCATTGAGGCAGCAGGTGCTTCTGGAGTCAACATATTGTGCTTGCAAGTAAGTTGCTGTGGCCAACTGTGTTTCTACTTATATTTTTTGGGGGGTTTGGGGCTTTTTATATTCATACATACATATATGTAGGAAGCATGGATGATGCCATTTGCTTTCTGTACCCGGGAGAAGGGGTGGTGTGAATTTGCAGAGCCAGTTGATGGGGAATCGACACAGTTTCTTCAGGATCTTGCATCAAGATACAACATGGTTATTGTAAGTTCCATTCTTGAGAGAGATGTTAATCACGGAGAAACTTTGTGGAATACTGCCCTTGTTATTGGAAATAATGGAAACATAATTGGCAAGCATCGCAAGGTAAGTGTTATACATGAAGTTAGTTTCCCTATCAGTCTCTCTCGGCTGCCGAAACTGTTTCGGTTAATGGCATTTTGCAGAACCATATACCAAGAGTTGGCGACTTTAATGAAAGCACATACTATATGGAAGGAAACACCGGGCATCCTGTGTTCGAGACAGCCTACGGGAAAATTGCAATAAATATATGTTATGGGAGGCACCACCCTTTGAACTGGTTAGCTTTCGGCTTAAATGGTGCTGAGATTGTTTTCAATCCTTCGGCGACCGTTGGTGAACTCAGCGAACCAATGTGGCCTATTGAGGTTAGTCTTTTACTTGTTTCATCCATTCCATTTCTTGTTTGTTTCATGTAATCCCTTCACTTATACCACAAAAGTCAAACAGGGCAAATGAGTGCTGATACTTGTTCTTTTTCCTTTGATCTATAACTTTAAATCACAATGTTGCCCTTTTTTCGCCTTTGGATAAGATGCTTCAACTTTTTCTGTTTACACTGTTCGACTCGAGTTGCAAATTACGAGATTAGTTCCACTGTGATTGTTGTTTGAGCATCTTGTTACTAAAATAGTTCTACCAACTTCCACAGAGAGCTCATATACATAATCTGCAATCTATTAATGTTTAAAGTTTTGATTGACATATTTTGTGTTCACAGGCCCGAAATGCTGCAATAGCAAATATTTATTTTGTCGGATCGATCAATCGTGTTGGGACCGAGATTTTCCCGAATCCATTCACTTCAGGCAATGGGAGACCGCAGCATACAGATTTCGGTCACTTTTATGGATCCAGCCATTTCTCTGCACCAGATGCATCTTGCACTCCCTCACTCTCTCGTTTTCGAGATGGTTTATTAATCTCTGACATGGATCTTAACTTGTGTAGGCAGCTGAAAGATAAATGGGGGTTCCGAATGACTGCTCGGTACGAGTTGTATGCCGAAATGCTCGCTCGGTATCTAAAACCTGAGTTTGAGCCTCAAGTCATTTCTGATCCTTTGTTAAACAAGAAGGCTTCTTGAAGAATAGGCAACTGGTAAGTTACCTATCAAACATTTTCTAATCCAATGGGAAAAGTATGCTCACCTTCGCTTCTGTTCGTAAGCTTTGCTCATATTTTACATGAAAGAAATGAAATAATAAACGCATTATGCTGATGGATAGAAATTAAATATGAGATTGAATTGGTATATTAGTGAATATTTCTAAGATTTTGATATACTATTTTTGTGTTTACCACTAACAAAATATTTCTATATTATGTTTATCATTACGAGACTATAATGATAAATGTCTATTAGCGATGTACAACTATAGTTGATAACAAAAAAAGAATTGTATATTATCCTTCTTTTTTGTTATTGTATCACGTATTTACTCTTTTAGACCAAATAATTGTGCAAAAAATCACTCAGAGTAATAGAAGTATAAAATATAATTGATATACCCTTTTATATTCTATATGATTGGGAGCTCAATTAGTGAGAGTTCTAACACACCTATAGACCTCTATCATAAAATATTAGTATAATCAATGGTAAATATATTAGAAAACGTCCATACAAAAAATTATTTATGGACAAATATTATTGATAGATATAAGTCAGTACAATAATTATAAGGTGGAAAATTGAGGTAGCTGACAATTAGTATCAAACAAATAAGCTGATGTGTTAAAGACACTCATCTAACTTATGAACCAAACATCTTTGAAGGACGTTGTGATATCCAATCGAACTTTGATAATATATGTTGAATCACTTTATTGCTTTGTCCATCAAATAGGCACTAAAACTTGAGTTAGTCCTATTCCTAACTTCAATGGGACTTTTCTAAACGTGAAAGATTCAAATGATTGGATTTTCGATTCTAGTAGTATCAATTTGAGCAAAAAAATTTATATGTTTTGGCCGTATATTTCTTCTTCAATGTTACCAAAATTTGGAGTTAAACTATATCATTATAAATTATTATTTATTTATAAACAAAATATAAAAAATTAATATAAACATTAAACTCTTAGGAATTTCGAATAGTCTCTCTCCTCTAAAAATGTATAAAAATTTAGAAAATTTGAAGATAGAGGGTACTCGGTGTCCAGCCTCGATGAATAGTAGGGGCCTTTTGGCCCTCAAAGGCACATGTTGTTGGCTAAACTCTTGTGACGGAGACACTAAGTCCTCCAGATTTTCAAGGGCCGCTGGGGGCACACCAGACACCATGCGACGTGCAATGCTCTTCCAGACGTTGGACCCTACCTCCTTGAGCCGTTTCTTGGTGGGTAGACCGTTAAACACAAAAGATAACTCTAAGAAGAATCAATAACGAGAATAATCAGTAGTTCCAGTCTCATTTATATAAGAGGAGAATCTCTGACTATTTCTTTCAAAAATTAAATCGTGTTAGATATGGATGAGCTTTCACTTTTCACTTACCCATCGTTCTAAGCCTTCTCTGTCCTTCCGAGTTCTCATCCCTCCATGGCTTCCATTTCTCCACTCCCTTCTCGTCACCTCTCCTTCTCCACCACCAACTTCCATTCCCCAACTCCATTTCTCAAACCTCATTCCTCTGCTGCTTCTCCTCCTCCTCCTCCATCATCCCAATCCCACACCATTTGCCACTCTCACAACCCTGATTCTCCTCCGTCTGAACCTTCCCTTCCCTGGGGATGGAGCTCTGCGCTTCAGGGCCTTTTTCAAACCGCCCTCGAACGCTTCGATTCTCTCGTGAATCACCGTACCGATGGTTCTATCGATCCTCGTTCCGACGGTCGCGTTCTGCAGGGGCGGCGTAAAGATGGGGATGATGATGATGGGAGCTGGGATTGGGATCGGTGGCGCAAGCATTTTGACGAGGTGGATGAACAGGAGCGTCTCGTTTCTTTTCTTAAGGTATTTCTTTTCGACTTCCCTGTAGTATGTTCGATTTTTAGGTTTTTCTTGGATCGTTCTAATTTAGCTTCTGAGATGCTTAGGATTAGAGAAAGAAGAAAGAGTTAAGTGCAATTTGATTGGAAGAAAAGGATGGAGCAATGAGTGGAATTTCGAGGAAGAAAAATGATAGGATAATGAAGAATTCCCTTCGTAGGGTTATCTAAGAAAAACTGATTTTGTTGCGTTTGTTTTTCTCTCTTTTTTGCTTTGGTTCTGCGCAGTCGCGCTTAAGTCATGCGGTATATGCAGAGGATTATGAGGATGCTGCAAGGCTCAAGGTGGCGCTTGCGGCTTTGGCTACAAAGGATACTGTTGGCAGAGCAATGTCTCATCTTCATGTGAGAAAATTTCATTTACTGCTGTGGAGCATAACTCATCATTTTCCTATTTTTCATTAGTTTTACCATGCTCGACACTGAAATTTGATTTTTTTTGAAACTTTGTTGGTTCACCTAGAAATATTCTTGTGAGATCCCACATCGGTTGGGGAGGAGAACGAAACACCCTTTGTAAGAGTGTGGAAACCTCTCTCTAGCATATGCGTTTTAAGAACCTTTAGGAGAAACTCGAAAGGGGAAGCTCTAAGAGGACAGTATCTGCTAGCGGTGGACTTGGCCATTACAATTCTATTTGTTGCATCAATGATATAGTTGTCTTTTTCTTACACTTCCTCTTGCTTTTGCAATAGAGAGCTATAGAGGAGGAGCGTTACCGGGATGCAGCGTTCATTCGAGACAATGCTGGTGCCGGACTGGTGAGATATTCAATGGGTTCCAAAATAAAGTGCTTGTATTTTACCCCTTTTTGCTGTCATATGCACGCCCTATATTCAATTGGTTGGCCTTTGCAATGTGCACAAGACTTATTTGTTCATTTTTTCCCAAGCTCTGGAACTTGTTGCTGTTTCTTTACTTTATTGTGAAGTAACTAATGAATCCAGTTCCACAGTCAGCCAATTAGCTGCTAACCTATTGAGAGTTTTGTAATTAAGTTCAAATGGGGCGAGAATCTGATTTTCCGTGATCTTTTTCCAATTTGGTTAATGTGTGACGTTAGTCTTTCATGGATCGAGTAATTACATCTAGATTCTCTTCTAAACGAACTGAAACAGGTTTTATACTCCCTGGTACAAGTATGATTTTCTCCTTTGGGTTTCTTCCTCTCAGGTTGGCTGGTGGTCTGGCACTTCAAAAGACGATCATAATCCTCGTGGTCTAATTATTCGAATAACAGCAGAACATGGAAGATACATAGCAAGAAGTTATAGTCCTCGGTATGATCTCTGTCCTTTGAATTGTATTACAGTACGTTCAACTTTTTTTTTTCTCCCCCTACCCCCCCACCCATGCTTTAAACTTTTTGGCAGTGTGTCTGAGTTCTTCCGTTCTACTGTCCTTTGATTGATGGAACCATTTATTCCTGTTATTGGCATCAAATCTTAGCTCCTGAGTGATATTTTGCAGTAAGAACATAACACCTGATGCTTTCTGCAAAGTCTCTATGACCATTGTTTTTAATGATATTTTATTAGTTGACTGTTGCATCAAAGAAAATTTTGATTTTTGTTTCTCAACTTCCTCAGGCAGCTTGCTACGGCTGCAGATGGTGTTCCCTTGTTTGAGATTTTTCTTGGAGTGAATAAGAAGGGTGAATACAAACAGCAGGTATGTATATGAAAGCATCTAATGTTATGTGCTGTACGAATTAAAATTTTCCTTTTTGTAAAATTTCTAATACATCGTGTTTATTTAAAACTGTGACTGATATTTATATGTGTTGAAAAATATATTTATATTAAGCAGGGTGGGACAGGGAATATAGTCCTGTCCTCAGTCCCATTTATCTAACGGGGAAAAAAATGTTTCCCACTCCTCCCCCATTCCATGTTTGGGGTGGGGACCGTGCGGATAAAATGAACATCTCTAAAATTAAAGGTATAAGGAGGATGTATGGGCCTTTGTTCATTTCTATGTCTCTCTTCGCAAGTTGGTGGTTAAATTTTTTTGTAATTATCTTAGGTTTTATTTGCTTGAATGTATTAGTTTTCTTTCACTCTTTTCTCTGGGGCTCTATTTTTATTTTTTTTGTATGTTCCTCATATCCTTCTATTTTTTACCTCAATGAAAGCTTGGATTTTGCATTGGAAAAAAGTGTTTTTCTTAATTGCTTCTTTGCAAATGAGAGATAGTTGCCTGTGCCCATGTATATTCTTTATAATTATATGAATAGGTTAGCTTTGGGTTGAATCATTCAGATTTTTTTTTTTTTTTCAAATCTTATAATAATGATTACAATTGGGTACTCAAGGTATTTTTTTGGTGTGTTCAGGCTGTGTACTTGAAGCGGAAAGGAGATTTCCCGGGTAATTCAAATGGTTCATCAAAAGAATCAGATTCACCTAGTCTATTGAATCCTTTTGACCCTGTTGAAGAAAAGGATGATATTTTCATTATAGATGGTGAAGAAGCTGAAGATGGTGACATCAGGAATGAAGATTCTGATATAGCTGTTGGACTTCCAGTCTTTCAGGATATCTTGAGAGATATGATTCCTGGAGGGAAGGTCAAGGTTTTGAAGCTAACAACCTCTGGAAAGGTTGACAAAGACGTGATATCTAAGGTGATTGAGCAAATAATTGAGGAGGAAGAAGATGAAGAAGAGGAAGACGATGAAGAAGAGGAAGAGGAAGACGATGGAGAAAGTGAGGAAGAGAGCGGCTTTGAAGATTTGGTAGTAGAAGACAGAATTAAGGATGGACATCAAGAGAATGATGCTAAATTGAATGCTGATGATGGTTTCCTTGAAAATCAGGGGCAAAATGAAGTTGCTGTCAAAATCATTGTAGGTGGCTTAGAGCAGAAGCTTTCCGGTGGCTTTTCTGCTAAAAATACACTCAGAGTACCTGCAAAGTTAGAAAAGAAGGGACGTTCTTCATTTTCTTTCTCGATTGTGAAAGATTCGAATGAACAGGACTCTATCGGAAAAGAACTAAATTCCATGGATAGGATGTCCAAGTCTCGAGGTCGAAGTAGTAATGACTATGTTATGCTAGATTTGGCCAAACTTATTGGCAAGGAGAAGATACCGCTTAAGGTTGCTTTGAAATTTTAGCATGTTAAGATCATAGGTGTTGGTCGATTAACTAATTCTGTGTATTATGAAAACTTTCAGGTACTTAAAAATTTGAGTGAGTTAATAAAGCTATCCATCAGCCAGGCACAGAACTATCAACCTCTTTCTGGATCCACAAGTTTCAATCGAATTGATATACTGACTTCTTCAGATCCTCTGAATGGTATTATTTCTATGGTTTTTGTTCCATTCAAGTAGACAAGCTAGCGTAGAGGCGTCATGGAGAATTCATTCTTTTTCCAGGACTGTACATTGATGCACATGAAATGTATACATCGGATATTATTCATCTAAGACGCAGATTTGGTCGATGGCAAGAGGATGGAGGAGGGGATAAGGAGCCTTCAAAGCTTGAATTCTATGAATATGTAGAGGCCTGGAAAGTTATTGGGGATCCATATCTACCAGCTGGCAAGGTAATATTTGTACCTGTTTCAAAAATGGCTTGCTTCGAGTTTCTCTACAAAATCCCCTCGAGTAGCGTTGATGGTTATGGTTTTCCAGGTGGCATTTCGTGCGAAGGTTGGAAAAAAATACCAGCTTCCTCATAAAGGGATCATTCCAGAAGAATTTGGAGTGGTAATTTTTATTCAACCATTATCCTTATCTGCTCCACTTTGATCTTCCTCTTTCTCCTCTCTATACTGAATAGTCATGTGGTATATTGTTTCTAGATTGCTAGATATAAAGGACAGGGGAGGCTAGCTGAGCCAGGTTTTCGCAACCCTCGATGGGTTGATGGTGAACTTGTTATTCTTGATGGAAAGGTTCAGAGTTCTCTGTTCTGTTATCATCGTGATTGCTCTGTCAACCTGTGTTATATATTTGGGTGATATTGTTCCATTTGTTACCTTAGCTCGAGTCTAATCTATGTTCTTCTACAGCACATCAAAGGAGGACCTGCCGTTGGATTTATTTATTGGGCTCCAGAATTTCAGTTCCTGGTGTTTTTTAATCGACTGAGGCTGCAAGAGTAGATTTCATGTTATTTTAAACTGAGATCTCAAGCCTCTTCTTTCATTAGTGCTTCGGTCATTCTTCAACGGTAAGATCATCCCTCTTATTTTTTAACATCTAATTTTTTTCGAAGTTCGGGTCTATGACAATGGTGAGATATTCCTTGTTTGTGTTAGTTTCAACTTTTGTCTTGTTGGGTTTTTGCTGAAAATAAGAAACCAGAGTTCATTTAGGAAATAAAAATACCAAAAAAAAAAAGAAAAAATAAAGAAGAAGAGAGCCAGTAAAAGAATGGCGAAGCCTGCCCATGCCACAAGAAGATTCTAACCCTCAATGTGTCACTTTAACATGCTTATCGAGCCCTCCATTGCTGCCACTCTCTCATGGTGGTGTTCTGCAATGGATGGTAGAGATGGGCCATATTGGGGCAAGGGTCCCATTCGGGACTTAACAATTTTGTTGTATCTCATTTTGTTGGGAATGAACCTAGCTCTGAAACCACTTATTTGTCCAAAATGTTTTTCCCTTGTGCAACCTTAAACCTTGGCATAGCTTAACCTTCATCTCAAAAAATAGTAACGTGTACCATTTGGTGGGTAACGACTAGAAACACTTTCACACGCATATGGGTTGTTGAATCATTTTTAGCATAGTTACTTGGCAATTCGAGAAGACTTCTACAAATTGAGTAACATGTGAAAAGCCATTTGTGAGGCAAAAACTGTGCAGGATAGATATCATAGTCATGCTCATCTAGGGCGTATTGCCTATGGTCGCATGTCCATGCAACGCCAAATCCTTTATTTCATTTCATGTTGTATTGTGTTACTGTTGTATTTTCTGTTTGTATGACTATTCGGAGAAATCATGTCTACGGTCGTCAGACTTGAATCGCCTCAAAATGTAATAGAAGGGGATGCAATTAGTTGTCAATTCTCTCTACTCGAGTTTTGCAACACTGTTTGGCAAAATTATGTCTAGGCTTGCCAGACCAGAATCGGCTCAAAATGTACTCTAGAGTGATGCGGTTAATCGTTAATTCTTTTTGCCTGAAATTATATGCTATTTAAGCCATTATGTTACCTTTCTCGCTTATATATTGCTTTCAAGACCTTTTTTCAATCTTGCTTTCAAAAATTTCTCTATCTTGTTTTCTAAAACCTTCTTCTCAAAATGATACCAGAGGCTTGAGCATACAAATATCCGTAGGCGGCGCAAATTCGAATTGACTTGACTCACTTGGTGTTGGGAGTAAGTGTCGCGCAATCGCAAAATTCTCTACCAAGAAAAGTATGATTGTGGCAAGTGGTATCAGTGTCTTGTTAGCTCTTTGACGCATTGAGACTAAAACAATGTCGACGAAAAAATCAGCACCTAAATCACAAGTGGACCGGTTTACCTTGATAGAAGAAGACATGTTGTTTCTAAAAGAAATCCGTGACACTGTCAGTTTCTTGGAATGACGAGTGACAAAATTGAATAAAAAAGTTCAGGAAATCGATACCATCGACGCCCGCTTGGATGGGTTGTTGATCAAAGAATTGATGTTTAGAGTTGACTCATTAGAGGAAAGAGTTACCCGAACGAGCAGCTCAGAACATGTTAATGGTCTTGACAACTTTGTCGCACACATGGAAGGACGTGTTAAAGAGCTAGGCGGTTTACAAAAGACCATGTTGAAGTTGTTCAACGAATTAGCTGATGAATTCCGAACAACGATTAATGGCATCGGGGGAGAGATGTCCGAAATGAACGCCCGAGTGAGTTTGACAATGAGAGACGTAGAGAATCACACCCCTAGCTAAGCTTATTTCGAACTTAACAAACTGAAGAACCCTAAACCTAAAGCCTTTAAAGGGAACCGGGATGCCAAGGAATTGGAGAACTTTATCTTTGACGTAGAACAATACTTTAAAGCTACAGGAACATGTTCCAAAGACTTGAAAGTTACGTTAGTTACCATGCAATTTGTGGACAATGCAAAATTCTGATGGTACTTGAAGGTGAACGATATCTAAAGTGGGTGATGCACCATCGACTCATGGGAAGACCTCAAGAAAGAGTTGATGACTCAAATCTCACTTGAAGGTGAACGATATCTAAAGGGGGTGATGCACCATTGACTCATGGGAAGACCTCAAGAAAGAGTTGATGACTCAAATCTCACTTGAAGGTGAACGATATCTAAAATGGGTGATGCACCATCGACTCATGGGAAGACCTCAAGAAAGAGTTATGACTCAAATTTTCTCGAAAATGTTGAATTTATAGCAAGGCGGAAACTGCAATAACTGAGACGCACTAGAGACATAAGAGACTTCAAATAGTTTTCAGCTTTGATGTAAGACATCAGGGATATGTCGGAGAAGGTCAAAGTATTCTGCTTTGTCGCAAGTTTATTGCTCTGGCCCAGGGTTGCAATCCGTCGACAAAGCATAATGTTTTTTCCTTCCCCAACATATCCCTTAGGTCTAACATCAAACTTATGTCTAACATCAAAACTGAGAACTATTTAACATAGTCTCTTATGCCTCCTGTGTGTCTCAATTCTTCCAGTTTCTGCTCTATTATAAGTTCAACTCTTTCTTGAGGTCTTCTCATGAGTCTTATGCCTCCGGTGTGTCTCAATTCTTCTAGTTTCTGCCCTATTATAAGTTCAACTCTTTCTTGAGGTCTTCTCATGAGTCGACAGTGCATGACCCATTTTAGATATCGTTCACTTTTGAGCACCACCAGAGTTTTACATCGTCCATGAGAGGCATTGTGGCTAACGTAATTTTCAGGTTTTCGGAACAAGTTTTTGTAGCTAAGTCTTTGATCGGCAATTCCCTTCGAACTAAGTCTTTCCTCTAATGAGTCAACTCTAAACATCAATTCTTTGATCAGCAACCCATCCAGGCAGGCATCGATTCTCTTAACTATTTTATTCAATTTTGTAACTATCCTTCCAAGAAATGGTCAATATCGTGGACTTCTTTTAGGAACAACATTTACTCTTATATAAAATTAAGTCGGTTGCCTTGTGATTTAGGTGTCAATTTTGTCGTCAACATTGTTTCAATCTCAATGCGTCAACGAGCTAAAAATGCTCAGATACCACTTGTCACAATAGCACTTTTCTTGGCAGTGGATTGTGCGACACCCACTCTCCCAACATCAAGTGAATCAAGCCAATTCGAATTTGCATCGCGTACGGCCAAGCAACGTATGTTCAATCCTCTGGCCCCGTTCTAAGAAGATTTTAGAAAATGGGGAAAGATATTTTTGAAAGTAAGATAGAAAGCAATGTTATAGACTATAAGCGAGAAAGACAACACAATGACTTAGATAGCATATAACACTGGGTAGGAAGAATTGACAATTAGTTGCATCCACCCATAGTACATTTTGAGACAATTCAGGTCTGGCAAGCCTAGACATGATTCCATCGAATAGTCATACAAAATCCAGGTAGGGAGAATTGACGACTAGTTGCATCCCTTTATAGCACATTTTTAGACTATTTAGGTATGGCAGACTTAAATATGATTTTACTGAATAGTGATACAAAAAAAACACAATAGTAAGGCAATACAACATGAAATTAAATAAAGGGTTTGATATGATATGGACATGCGGCCATGGGCAATACGTCCTGAACGAGCATGACCGTGACAGCACACGAATGGGCAGCACACTCGCAACGAGTTTTAGTCATCGCACATTGCAAGGGTGTATGTGTGCCCACAAGCATCCTGCCCAAGGCTGATTCAAGGTCTCTTGGAAAGGTGTCGGGACAAGCTGGGACAACATACTTTGGCCCTTACACGACATGCAACAAGGGCATCATTTGCCAAACACACTCGTTAGCCTAAGAGAAATCTCCTTCGAATAAAGTAAGTACTCCAAATAGCTACCCTCAAACAATTGTTAAACAATTGTCAAAAAGGAGTTCACTGACTTTTTAATAAATTTAATATAACAATTGTCAAAAACTACTTCCCTTTTTCTTCTTTTAGGATTAAATTCTGTCATGCTGATTTACAGCCCGAATTTGGCAGCACACCAGACCCATTTATTCATTATTTATCATATCTAGTCTTACATTTTGTAGCAATCCAAGTTCACTGCTATCAAACATTGTCTTTTTTGGGCTTTCCCTTTCGAGCTTCTCCTCAAAATTTTATGTCAGAAAGGGAGGTTTCAATACCCTTATAAAAAAATGTTTTGTTCCCTTCTCTAACCAACGTGGGATCTCACAATCCATCCCATTTCAAGACCCAACGTTCTCGCTGAGATTCGTTCCCCTCTCCAATCGATATGGGATCTCGCACCTTTTGTGACTGTAATTTTGATCTCAATTTAGATAATTTGAATGGATTCTGTGGAAACATTTGGTGCAATATGCTAATGATCATATTCCTCCCATTTTTTCTAATGCAATTGCAACAGTGACAGAAGATTTAAAGCGCTCATTTAAAGATCAGCAGTATATGAGCAAGCAAAGCGAGCCATTTGTTATCAACTGACTCATCACTCACAAGTGCACTGGCCTCACTAACTTGATCACCAAAGCTTTGTCAACGCTCACTCTTGGATCTCAAATTACTTCCCCCTTTTCTGGAAATTCTTTCCGTCCTTGCATATATTAATCTGTTTTGCTTAATCAACAGTTAAACATCAAGTTTTGGGGTGATTATATAAACAGTGATGTAGCTTTGATGCTGTTAATATCTTGTTGCGTTTGTTGTGTACTCATTTCTGATTGTTGTAGGTTGAGATATCGTTTGTAAGTCGGTTTGGAGTCTCGAACAAGAACACCATTAAGACTCATTCTGTTAATATCATGAGAAGTTTAGTATTTTTATGAATCTGTTGTCCCTTCTGTAATCTTCTCTCATGGTTTATATTTATTTTAGAATTTACATGACAGTACCAAGAAGACTAATATCTCTTCCTTTAGTTCAATTAATTTAAAGTATTTATCATGAGTTTAAAAACTCCCTATTTGGTAAGATCGTCTTCTCATTTATTTATTAGATTCGAAGATCATCTACTTGCTCGGTACCTCTTGGCTTATTTGGTGGTTTCTATTAGTGATATTTTGTTGGCTATAACGGCACCTCTTTCCTTCGCCATGTACAAACCGACATGATGCATGAACTCCTGTCATACCATTCATAACCCAAAGTGTTAAAAGTATATTAAACTATAACCAAACGGTGCACTAAAATAATTAGAAGTATTTCATGACTCAAATGCGAGCATTCTACACATAAATCATCTGATATAAAACATAATCTTTTCAAATATCTTCCTCCACGTAAAATATATATTCTCTCAATTTTTTTTTCTTATTATTATTTAATTTCAATTATTTTCTTTAATTAGTCAATTAGGAAGAAAAATAGAGAAAAAGAACGAACCTGAGGATGAGGGAGAGCACGTTTGGTGTTAGTAGCAACATGGAGAGGAACATCAAAGGTAGCACAGGCCTGAGAGTAGAGAACGACGTCGTTTAACGGACTGAGAAGCCCTAGATTTTTCGCGGACATAGTGGAGCACACGAAATCCAATACGCAAATGTCCGTACAAATTCCGACCACGAAAAGCTTAATCCACAGAAAAGAAAAGGTTTGAGTTCCAAATCAACAGCTCCTTCTGGATCATATAGTGTTTATTGAAAAGAAATGAACAGGAGAAGAAGATCCATACAGATTCGATTGTGATTGTGTTTGATCCAATCCACAAAGACATTGAAAAGAACTGAAAAGAAATGAAAAGAAATGAAAAGAAATGAAAAGTGGAAGAAGATTCATACCGATTTGATTTGATTGTGTTTGATCCAATCCACAAAGACGTTGGAGCCATCAGGCTGGAAGGAGCCAATATAGCCGTCGAAGCAGTCCTTTCGCCTGATCGTCACGTTCGGTTCCTTCTCCACCCATCGCAGTGCTGCAATTTTCATCCACTCAGTCCACGGTTCTTCTATTAAGTCCTTACCCCCAAAACATTAATGATAAAAGGAGGGAAACTTTTCAAAAAAATAAAAAAAAAACATAAAATCATCAGATGCACAGCCGGGAATCAAACCCGGGTCTGTTCCGTAGCAAGGTATTATTCTACCACTAGACCACCGGTGCTTTTTGTCTGGACCTATTACAATTATTATAATTTTCATAATTTAACAATATATAAAGAAAAAATGCAAAATTTGTTTACAAGATTTTCTTCCACCTAAAAAGATAACAGGTAAATTAGGAAGATTGGATTGAAAATAGTACATACTTTCTTAATTTTCAAACTCTCAGCTTACTCTAACTAATGATTTAGTTAAACGGTGACACGCTTTAATTATATGAATTTGGCTGATTGTGTTAGTTTAGAACTCGAGCGTAATTTCATTAGTTAAAATATATACTATTATTTCATTTTTTCGACGTATAAACATACACTAGATTCGCTAAAACCATGGGTTTCTTCAAATCATTCTGATATTCACCTAAAATTTTCTGATCATTTACTTGTTTTTGAAGCAATCTGTTTGGTTTGATATAAGAGAAAAACAGAGAAAGAGAGAGAGAGACATGCCTGGAACCAAGTTGGATTCATCAGAACCAGCAATACAGTGAGGAGGATATGGTTCCTCAGGCTTGTTTGGTTGGTGAGAGTCAAGAAATGCCATTACAGGCCATTTCTTCTCACAGAAAATCCTTGCAATCCTTGTTGATTCCTCTACCATTTCAGAGATCTGCCTGTTTGGTTCTCTTGGTGCCTGCCAACAAAAACATCCCAAACTCCAATGTTCTAATTTACATCCTTCTCTTTGTTAGTTGTAACTACCAAGTCCACCGCTAGCAAATATTGTCCTCTTTGGGTTTTCCCTTTCGGGCTTCCCCTCAAGGCTTTAAAACGCATCTGCTAGGGAGAGGTTTTCACACCTTTATAAAAGATGTTTTGTTCTTCTCCCCAAATGTGGGATCTCACAAGATCGCACACCAATACACACTCGATCCAGATGAACACAAGAACAGCAAAGAGAAATATTAGCAAGAGATTTATATGATGACTTCAAGTATGTACTAGAAGAGAAATACAAAGAATATAGAAAACACTTTTTCAAAGCATTGGCCTAATCGGGTACGTATATGGTTGAGTTTATTATATATATAATTTTAATAGATATTGTCATCATCTACGGTAAATAACTATCTACCATTTACTTTATATGTCATACAAAGACTATAGAAAATACATCTTTACAGCACTATCTAATGGGTTACCTATATGGTTCGGTTTACTATACATAGTTTTACAAGATATAGCCACAATCTAACTTATATAACTATCTACCATTTACTTTATGTCATTTACCATATAGTTTTAATATGTATAACCATGGTGGGAAGCTATGAGATTCAAACCATTTCTCACTAGAATATGGAGAGTGACTATATTTCCATCAAAGGTACGTCTATGCCCTAACAAGTAGAACCTTTCTCACTAGAATATGGAGAGTGACTATATTTCTTTAGTCCAAATTGAATAAGAATATGGAGAGTGAGACCCGTTATTAGACCGGACATGAAAATGGGATGGTGTTCAAACTCCCGAAATGCAGTCTAGACAACGGACCCTACCCTTTCTGACTGGACTGACTCTCAGGATTAATCTCTTCCAGAACATGCTATATAGCCACACATCCATCCTAACCAAATAGTCAAATTTATCTCTCAGCGATTCTTTTCTCCACTAAGAATCCCTTCCCAACCAACATGTCCGATCGATTTTGTAAGATCGGCTAATTCAAAGGGGTGAATCTAGTTCGAAGTTGTCAGAATTCTTTATCGAAGCTTTATTAGGGGGTCTTCGTTGCCCCCAAGTGTCGACCAGGCAAAAGTATAGCATCAAAATATGTAAAGGTGGGAAGCAATAAAGTTCAATAACACAACTAATTATGAACAGTAAACTTAAAGGTTCATCAACTAATAGATCAAATGTTTGAATCTTCTGTACGAAGAAACCCATAAACTAGCCATTTAAGACGCAGAAGAATGATAGCATCAAACAGAATATATTCCAAAGATGCAACAAATTAACGAAAACTTGCCAAATTCTTCGGTAAATCTACAGAAGCATAACATCAACCAGATTGTGTGCAATAACAACAAGAAAGAAAACAGCCAAATTTTCAGGAAAAACCGCAGAGGCATTTCATCAAACAGATAGTGTGCAATATAACAAATCCCAAATGCAAAACTCCTACCAAATTTCCAGCGCCAACAGTGCAGAAGCCATTGATGATATCAACAAGAACAAGGCCATTAACGGTATCTTCAGCCAAAACCACAGATTCCTGCTCCAGCGGAATCTCGTTCTTGAGAAGATCAATGACGGTGGAAACCATTTTTGGGAAATCAGAGAAAAGATGAAGCGGCAGCCGAAGATAAGAGAGATCAGAGTTCAATTATTGCAAAATGGAGTTGATATTAAGGAGATTGGATCAGTTCAGGTTAGTCAAAAGAAAAACGTCATGATCTTTGAAATCTTTTATTGTCTTAATTAGTGGATTTCAACGTGGCGTAATAGAGGAAATTTCTTTACCGACAGCGACGAGGCTACAATCAGACAAGAACATCTTCAATTTTGCATTCATCTGCACGAAAATCAAAATTATGATTTTAAATAATAAATAAATAATAACATCTAATCATTATTTCAAAAAAAATATTAATAAACTTTTTTAAATGTTATTGAATTTCATTAATATCTTTAAAATTTGTTAAAAAATTTAAATAGGTTCATGATGAACATGTGGGAATTCAACGTGTATTATTGGAATGGTACTATTCAACCACTAGACCACTGGTACTTAAAAAGTCAATATAGCAATTGAAGCGGAATTGAACCTAGGTATGTACACCGTGGCAGGGTACTATTCTACCACTAGACCACTGGTGCTTCTAAAAGCTAATATAGTTGTCAAAGCAGTCCACGACTTTTATATTAAGTCCTTACTAAAAAATATTAAGGATAAAAAGGACCAAAGTGGGATATCGAGATGACCGAAGTCATCACCGCATGATGCACCAGCTAGGAATCTAAGTCGGGTTTGTACCGTGGCAGGGTACTATTCTACCACTAGACCACTGGTGCTTCTAAAAGCAAATATAGCTATCGAAGTAGTCCACGACTTTTATATTCAGTCCTTACTCCAAAACATTAAGGATAAAAAAGGAGTGTCAAGATGACCGAAGCTCTCAACTGTAGAAGAAGAAGTCATCATCGCATGACCAGCCAGGAATTGAACCTGGGTATAGGGTATATACTGTGGCAAGGTACTATTCTACCACTAGACCACTGGTGCTTCTAAAAACTACTATAGCTGTCAAAGCAGTCCATGACTTTTATATTAAGTCCTTGCTCAAAAAATATTAAGGACAAAAAGGACCAAAGTGGGATATCGAGATGACCGAAGCTCTCAAATATAGAATAAGAAGTCATCACCGCATGATGATAAAAAGGACCAAAAAGGAGTGTCAAGATGACCAAAGCTCTCAACTATAGAAGAAGAAGTCATCATCACATGATGCACCATGCTGGGAATCATACCCAAGTCTATATCATGACAATGTACTATTCTACCACTAGACTACTGATACTTCTAAAAGTTAATATAGTTATTGAAGCAATCCACGACTTTTATATTAAGTCCTTACTCCAAAACATTAATTATAAAAAGGACCAAAATGGTATGTCAAGATGATCGAAGCTCACAACTATAGAACAAGAAGTGATAATCACATGATGCACCAGCCAGGAATCAAACCAAAGTCTATACTGTGGCTAGTACTATTCTACCATTAAATCACTAGTGCTTCTAAATGCTAATATAGCTGTCGAAACCGTTCACGACTTTTATATTAAATCCTTGCAACAAAACATTAATGATAATAAGGAACAAAATGGAATGTCAAGATGACTGAAGCTCTCCACTAGGAATCAAACCTGGGTCTGTACTATAGTAAGGTACTGTGAATGTTTGATTAATCCACCACACTTAAATGGTGTGAAAGTTATCTTATTTATAATCAAATAAATTACAAGATATGAAAATAGTAATAAATGGAAATAACAATAAATGGAAAGATACCTATGATAATAAGGCAAATATTAGATATTTGACTTATAATAAAATATCAAATATAATATATATGGTAAACTATAATTTATTACTAAATATCCTTAACAGGTACACTATTCTACGACTAAACCATGAGTGCTTCTAAAAGCCAATATAGCTATCGAAGTAGTCCCACGAGACCAAAATGAAAAACTTTTCCAAAAAAAACATATGATTATTGAATAAATACTACAGGATGCATAAATCATCATCGCATGATGAACCAATCGGGAATCAAACCCGAGTCTATACTTTAGCAGGATACTATTTTACCACTAGACCACTAGTGCTTCTAAAAACTAATATAGCTGTCGAAGTAGTCCCACTACTTTTATATTAAATTCTTACTCTAAAACATTATTGATAAAAGGACCCAAAGCGGAAACTTTTCCATTTTTTTTTTCTCTGATGATATTGTCGAAAATCGAATAAATGTTGATGACCCAAATTATCAATTATCAATTATTCAATCAAACCCAGATATGTAGTTGTCGAACAACTTTTATATTAAGTCCTTATTCCAAAACATTAATGATAAAAGGACCAAAATGGAAAAATTTTCCAAAAAAAAACAATTGATTTTCTCCGATGTGGATATGATATCGTCGAAATTCGAATAAATGTTGTAGACCCAAGTTATCAATTCTTAGACTTAGGAATCATCATCTCGAACTCAGGTCTGTACCGTGGCTGGTTCCAATAGCCAATATAGTCGTCGATCTGCAATGCTCCAATTTTGGTTGGTGTGAAATCAAACTTAGGTCTATACTCTGGCTGGTTCCAATAGCCAATATAGTCATCCATCATCATAGTTGGTTCTTTCTCCACCCATCACAATGCTCCAATTTTGGTTTGTGTTACATCGAACTCGGGTAATAATGTTGATGACACAAGTTATCAGAATCAAACTCGGGTCTGTACAGTGACACGGTACTATCTAGTACCGATGCTTCTAAAATTCAATATAACTTACTCAAAATGTTGCTAGCTAGACCACTAGTGCTTCTAAAAGTCAGTGTAGTCGTCAAAGCAATCCGTTCCTGATCGTCACATTTGGTTCCTTCTCAAAAGAAATCATCATTGCACTAAGAATTGACCCTTAAAAGTCTATACCATGGTAGGGTACTATCTTATCACTAGACCATCTATGCTTCTTCAAGCCAATTTAGCTGTCGAAGCCATCTTTTCGCCTTATTGTCAAGAGGACCAAAATGAGAAACTTTTCTAAAAAAAACTCTGGTTTGCTTAGATGGGACGATCATATCATAAAAAATCGCATGATGCACCAATTTGGAATCAAACTTCGATTTGTACTGTGGGGCAGGGTACTATTCTACGAGAATCAAACTTGAATTATCTATTCAGTAAAGAAATCATCATTATAAGATACACGAGCCGAAAATCAAACCCAAGTTTGCACCCAGACAGATTTCTATTCTACCACTAGAGCATTGGTGCTTAGATGAAAATCGTTAGCATTTTGATTCAAAAATATCTTTGATCTTTCAAAAGGGTTTGAAAAATACGCTTGAACTTTTTTAAAAACTAAAATTGTTACCTTTACTTTTTCTTAAAAAAAGTTCAAATAAACTCGAAACGGTCACTAACGCATTTAAAAAATACTCATGAACTTGTAACCATTTAAGAATGCCGACCCTAATTTTAAAATTATTTAACTCATATATAAATATTAAATATTTAAATATAAATAATTTTTAATTTTTGTAGAGGAAGTTAAACTTTTTTAATGTTTTTTAATTTAAAAAAAGAAAGTTAAAAGTGAATAAAATTTAAAAAACGACTAATTTTAAAATTTAATTTCGAGAAACTAAATTTAAATATTTTAAAAATAGAAGGAAAATTAAACATTTACAATTTAAGTATTATTTATTATTTTTTTGTAGAGAAGAAATGAACAATTTTTTTTTATTAAATATTGGAAATTTCCATGATTAGGTCAAAACTTTATCCACTTTGTTGGGGGAAAAAAATAGAACATCCAAAGGAAGCAGAATCCAGTGTAATGCGCGCAGCTCAGCTGCCCTGCGCCTTCGAGTCTTCTCTTTCGCGCATTCTTCTCCTTCAATCCATCCAAAAACCCTAATTTTCCTTCACTCTCTGTAACAGTCGCAGCAAAAGCCCAAAAGTCTATTCAATTTTCAGTTAAGAATATTCCATTGCTCCACATTTATTTCTAATAATTGTGGTCACTTTCTAGCCAGAGATTCCGTTGGTTTGGAATAAGGATTCGATATAGAGATGGGAAGTAATTTTCCCTCTCTTCCAGTGAAGCGAACTGTAGCATACACGGCGCCGGTCACTGGAATGGGCGACTCATACATAGGTTTGGCGAATGGTTCATCTAAGTCCAAGAGGTTCAAGCAACCTCCACCACTTATCATTCCTCCGGGTCATGTCGCGTTTCGAATGCTCTGCCACGCTTCGAGAATCGGTGGGGTTATTGGGAAGTCCGGGCTTGTGATAAAGCAACTTCAGCAGTCTACCGGAGCGAAGATTCGCGTTGAGGAAGCTCCGAAAGAATCGCCGGACCGGATTGTTACTGTGATTGGGCCACCAGCGCTTACCTCCAGGGTGTTGCTGGATCAAAACCCTAGCGAGAATGGGGTCAGTGTGAATGAAGTCGAGGCGTCGAAAGCCCAAGACGCGCTTCTGAAGGTGTTCGAGAGGATTTTGGAGGTTGCGGCCGAGAGCGAGGGCGTTGGAATTGGGGCTGAAGTTGGAGTTGTATCTTGTAGATTGTTGGCGGAGGTGGCTCAGGTTGGGTCAGTTATAGGCAAGGGGGGGAAGGTTGTGGAGAAGATAAGGAAGGAGAGTGGCTGTAAGATTCGGGTCTTGACAGATAAGTTGCCGGCATGTGCAGGACCTTCAGACGAGATGATTGAGGTAAAGAAAATGACTTTCTTTTCTTTTAGTTTTAGTTTTTATATTGTTGAATTCAAACTTATAGTTTTAGCATGGGATTTGGATGGCACTTCAGCTTACCGGTGCATTAGGCTTAGCTTCGTTCTATTTGTTCTTTGATTTGATGGAAGTGTAGTGAAGAATGGAGGGAGGTGGGCAATGGCCCTCCTTTCAGTACATCTTAGGCTAAGAAATTATGTTAAACAAAGTAAAAAGAGTTGAAGTCTTCTCTCCAATTTGCTCTCTAAATTTCAAAACTGAATCATGATATATGTAAAAAAGCTAGGAAGTAAAATTTTGCCCCTCGAAATTTTTGACTCTGCTTATAGATTACATATGTAGTTTGTCTGTCGATTTTGAGACACCAAGGCAATGGTACCTCGTACCTATATTTTTCTGCTCTTCTTCGAAGAGAGGGGTTAAATGATTTTCATATC